AGGGTCTTTCCCTGGGGGAGCATAGTCTAGTGGGGGGGGGACACACACACACACACATATGAGCAGATGACACAGTACGTGTGCTAAGTTCCACGATGAAGAACACACAGGGAGCATCTTACCCAGCCTGGGAGGTGCGGGAAAGGCTTCCTGGAGCTGTCCCCTGAGCGGAGTCTTGAAGGATGAGTTAGCCAGGTGGAGAAGCAGGAGAAGGGCAATCTGAGCAGGTGGGTGAGCGTGGGTAAAGCATGGAGGTGAGAAGCAGCATGGCGCGCTGAGCAGACATAAGCTTCTGCAGGCCGAGAGAGGAACCCACGGACGGTTTAAAGCAGGGCGTGACACGGTCAGAACTGCATGTTCTAAAGATCCCTCTGGCAGCTTAAACCAGCACCCGTGGCGGGAATTTGCGTATCTCAGCATCTGAAGCTCCCTTGGCCCCAGGTAAGATGTCCAGGTTGAAATAGATATACACAATACCAAATTAACAAGCGACTGAGGGCCACTTATATGAGGACAAGGGACACAGAGTTAAGCTCGGTTCCACTGCTTGAAATAAAATGCACAAGCTGGCGGTCTCTGACCCAACACCTCCAGTGTCAGGTTTGGGCACCTGTTTTATCTTGGTATCTCTAGTATCAAGTATATTTCTTATGAATGAAAACAGTTGGATCATTCTGTATTCAATAACCCAGTCAGTTAATTTAGCACCCAAAGGAGAAAACCTATATATTTGGCTGAGACAATTGGTCAATTCATTCAGGATGTTTGAGCCAGTTGTGTGTGAAAACCTGACCCAACTCTTACTTCCCCTCATTTGTATCTGGTTCCCAAGATTTAGAGGGGATCCTAGGCTAGCCTGCAGTTTGCCCAAGCAGACAGGGCACCTCGAGGTGAGGATATAGCTTAGGCGTCCAACTCATCTGAAACCTGACTCCCTTCAGGCCGGCCTCCTCCCTTGGGTGAAAGGGAGAAGCAGCCCAGGCTGTGGAGCAGCCAGGTGCAGCTGGCAGACACCCTCCTCCCTGAGCTTCCCTCTCCTGTCTGTCACCTGGTGCAAACACCTGCTCCACTACATCAGGAGGGCTCAGCGGGACTGCACAGAAAGAAAGGCTTCGTAAGCAATCGGTAGTTATAAATTCTTAGAATATTATTGCTTAGGTTTGTGAACTCAAGGTAATTCAGTAGCTGGGATTCTTTAAAAGTGTTCTTCTTGATCAGTGTTTGCCTCAATCAGCTTCATATATTGTCAGAGTAATTATCAGAAGGACAGAGAACACAGACCTTTCAAGTACTGTACAGGGAAGGCAGAGGGGCCTGAAATGAGCTCTATTTAGTGTCCACTATGGGTTCCCTATAGCCATCAAGTCATTTCATCCTCACTCCTCTCATGTGAGGTGGGTATTAGTGTCCCAAGTTTTAGAGGAGGACAGTCTGTGTTTAGTGAAAGACACAGACTGGCATAGCTGCCACCGACGTCCATCCATGAACCTGGTAAAGGCCTAAGGGCACCGCCACTGTTAACCTGTATTCACATGCTAAGGAAGAAAATATGTAAGGATGGCAACTCTGTTATTAGAGCTATTCTAGGATGGTCTAGGTGTCATGAGGATCGATGCATCAGTGGCAGTGCGATGGAGAGCTTGGGATCACGTGCCGGGTTCTGCCCGAGGGGAAGCCGAGCAGGGTTGGTTCCATTGGTTGGAAACAGCTGCCTCTCCTGTCTCGGCTCGGCTGTCCCTGCCGCTGTCCCTGCCCTGTTGGCCTCAGGTGGGGCTGCTCTAGGTCTCCCCTTAACTGTAGATGGTCCACGGTCTACATCCTGAAAGAAACTTTTTATACCTGAGGTCCTGAAAATGTAAACCGCTCTAAGCATTTTAGCAGGGAGAGGGCCTTGAAACCATGATGCACATAGAGGGAGTCCGCACACAGAGGGCGTCCACTTGACACTCCCTGAATCTATGGGAAGCAGGCTGTGCATTTTTAAACCCTAGTGGAAAAAAAAAAAATGAGGGAAGAACTTCACTAAGAACACAAACTCTAAGGAAGGATTAAACTACGCTTATAATGAATGTAGCAGTGGGGACCTATTTTAAAACTAGAGGCTGGTTTTAACTTCATTTGCTGTTTCAGGGAGGTGATGATAGTAAGGGTGGAGATTTGCCTCCTGGGCTTGGGCAGCATCAGGGAGCACAGCGGAAGTGAGGCTGAGGCTCCGGGTGAGCCTGACCACGGGGTGGTTCCCACCTTCCTGCTTCTCCGCTGCCCATTCTTGCCCTTCGATTCTGAGTGTGTCTCACCTTCTCCTGGGTTATCCTCAGTGTCTTCATACATGTGTGTTTTCTGGGTGTCTTCTCTCTTTGCCTGTTTCTACTTCTCCTGTCTTTTCATCTCTCAATCCCTAGTTTTGATCAAACAATTCTTAACTGATCAAAAGAGAGCTAATATTATACTTTTAGGTACGCTTTATTATTGGACAGTATTTTGCATTTTCTGCCTCATACAAAAGCAGGCAGGTGGGTGGAATGCTTTCTGTTCATCTGGAAAACAAATATATAGTGTTTTGTTCCACATACATGATCCTTGATTATTCCTACCACGGCTCCTACTCAAAGCCCAGATTTTGAGAAACAGCAACAGAATGAGTCCCAGCCTAGAGCTCCCAGCCTAGAGCAAGAGAGGACCTGTGGCTGGTGCCCGGTTTGAGGGTGAGGGTGAGAAGCACGATGGTGGGAGCATGCGCAGGTGGGGTACAGCTGGGGGTGTGAATAGAGACCCTGGTTAGTGACCTCCCCCCCCCCGACGGCACCAGGACGTCCACGGCACCCTGACCCTCCCAAGGACTGAGCTCACCTGGCATTGGGCTCCCACATCTCTGCTCTTGCAGCCCTTCTGCCTGTCATGACTGGCCGCCCCCCACCCGGCTCTGTTCACTTGGTCGCCACTTGCCCATCCACTGAGGTCCTCCCTGACCCACAGGATCTGCTAGAACAGACTCCTTCTTCATGTTTCACTGTGATTGCAGGTGGGGTCTCAGCCACCCTGCTTCTCTGCTCCAAGCACAATGCCTGGCACATGAGAGGTATTCAATCAACATGCACTGGCACAAGGAAGCGGGATCCCAAAGGATAGAATCTTTTGTCTCCCATTCCAGCAGAAGGACATCCAAGTGGGCACCCTCGGCCCTGGCTCTGAGGTGCCCACCCTTCTGCTCTCCTGCCTGTAGGCCTGCCCCTGCATGCCCCGCATACCCACATGCCACCCACTCTCCAAGGTTCCCCCCCATGAAGACTACAGATTCCCCACTCCCAGTGGGAAGAATCCTGTCCTCCATCTGAGCTCCCAGCTCCCTGGCCTGTTGTTACCTTGTTTGGACTCCCTTACGGCGGCTTCCACACCCCCGTGTTAGGCGCACACCTGACTGTCACGCCATCACCCACACAGTGAGCCAGCCCCTGAGCGTGGAGCCTCCACAGTGACCAGATTAAATAAATGAAGGCACCTCTGCCATCTCTTGGGAGGAGAAAAGCCATAACAGACAGTCCTGCGGGTTGACGGGAAGAGGGTGGAGGTCGGGGGCCAGCCTCCCAGTGTGGCGAGGTGGTGCTGGCCACTCACCCCCAGCTACATGGGATCAGATCGTTACACTACCTTGTTGGCCACTGGGTCTCCCGGTCCATCGTCGCCTTTCCCAACACTTAGCTCTGACTGCTTGCAATTAGTATCTGAGAGGCAAGTATCTAAAAGAGTCAAGCTGCGTTACGGAGAACCCCAGAGAAACTGCAGGGTGCAGCTCATCTCGTGGAGAGCGGCTCAAATGGCAAAAGTTGGTTCCTTCACCTACTCAGCTGGGCCTTACCAAGGAAATAAGATCAAGAAAGTGGTGTTCGTCTTTAGCATTTATTTATAATTGGAAAAACTGTTTGTTTGTTTTTCTGAGCAAGCACAGGCCACAAGCACGTCACAATCAATTGGCTATACATGAATATTTTTGTCATTTTCTTACTAACAGCAGGAATGAAATAGCACCAAGAGAGGTGTGCGCTACACATACATAGACAATCTGTGGTACGCAACAAAACCCAGGCCACAAAATCGTAATTAGACGCTTCCGGTCTGCCTTGAGAGAGGCAAAGGCGTAACGGGAGCACCAGCAGATAACAAAAAGCTTTAAGGACCCAACGCACAGCTTTAGGGATCATCTTTGCAGGTGAGTGAAGCAGAAGGTGAGAAAGCTTCAGTCCTAGCTCTTTTGTCAGGGGAGTTCAGGGAACCACAGGGAAGTGTACAAAAGTGGGGCAAACAGGCATTTGAAGCTTGGCCACCTTCAGAAAGGCAACACTAAAACACTGCTTGTGAAACTGAAATCAGTTTCAGTCAGCGCGTTTGGGATGCAGAACTAGACCGGCTGAGTTTTATTTGTAAACAGTAGAAATCAAAGGAGGTTTCTTGCCAGTGAAGTGACACATTCAAGAGTCAAAGCGAACTACCAACAGGGTTTTCTCAGTTGGAGGCACTAAAAAGATGGGGAGACTAAAGGCCTGAAAAGACATCCTACAGGTCATCTAAAGCGTCAGGTGGGGCAGGGAAGAAACTCAGTGCCTGGGGCCACAAGGTGGGTGGTTAACTCTACAATTGGGGCAACACAAACTTGAATCAGACACAGGGGTGGAGTCCTACGTATCCTGGTTGTGCTGTGGTGGAGACATTTATACACGCTACCCACTACGGCTGGCCCCGTGTCGGGCACACAGGCATCCAATAAGCGAATGTTGAGTGAATGGTCCCCTGTGCGTCGTAAAGTTTGATTTACTTGATCTGCAAAAAAATAGAGGACTATTCTACGGAGAAATCCAAATCGTGGCTAACATCAACATGTCTGACGAATGCCAGATCTCAAGAGAACAAACATACGTTGGCAGATTCTCTGGACAAAGTTAAGATCATGCTGACCGAGCTCTCAGCATGAGATTATTGTTAAGATCAGCTAGCAAATACCTGAATCAGTACCGAGATCTACTCTAGCCCTTTCCAGCTAGGCATCAAAATCTGAGATCCATAAACCCTGAAACTCACTAACGTTTTCTACCTTGCTCGGTACTTCTTCCTCACAGTTCCTTCCCTGGGACAGAAAGGAAGATGGCAGAGAGGCCTGGCCAAGCGCTTCATTTCTGCAGGTTCTGTCCTCTTAGGAAATAGGGCCTGCATAGCACAGGCTCAATTAATTTGCAAGAGACTTCTCAATCAGCCCAAAGGTGACAAAGAAAATAGTGTAAATGGGGATTTTGCTGCCTGAATGGCCAGAAGATGAGAGAGCTTGTGGAGGCTCTATTTCCTCCAACTTGAAGGACCTAACGGGACTTTTGAGGTAGGGGACCGTGAGAACTTCACTCATTACCACTTTTATTACAAAAGAAAAGTACGCCTGAGCAGAGGCTGGTGTCACACAACAGCCCAGCGATTTCTGAATGACGGCGACAGGAAGCACCCTGGGGACGTGGGAAATAAAGAGTACTGCGCAACCTACACGCCGCCACGGGGTTTGCAAATGTAATTTTTCTAGTAGGTATGTGGGGTCTTTCCACAACTCCCTGGCTAATGCCTACAGCACAACTCTAGCACAGCTAAGGTGGCACTGCTGCCACCGGCAGCTTTAGCCACACAGACACGAGACACACAATGCAGGGAGAGCTGCTTTTATTCAGAAATGAGGTCAAAAACGCTTGCTAATCATATAGCAGGGAGCTGTCCTCGTCTTAGGCTAAGTCATAGAAATTTCCCATAACCTGAAGTTCAGCATCTCCTGTCCTCTCTGAGGAACAGAGCAAGCAGAGCCCAGGCATTGTCACAGTAGCCACTACACCTGCTTCCTGCTGAGTGTTTCTCAGAAGCAAGAAAGCCACATTCTAAACACACGATCTTTACACCTTGAACTTTCCTCCTCAGTCCTCCGTAACCAGTCACTTTGCAAAATCCACAGCACTGGATAGGCGGAGAGTTAACAGGAAAACAATCTCATTTTTGTCATCTTCCTATGATGTCTGGAGTGTACCTACAACACCTAACCTTTTTGCCCTGGCCTAGTTTTGGTCATCAGTGGCACATCATTTACTTGGTATACGATTTAAAGCCCACTGATAGGAAACTAAATGCAGTCACGTGTTTCTAACAGAAGAGTCTATGAAAAAATTACTTAAACTTAACAGACGCAACTCATTTTATTGACATGAAGGCCAGAATATTTTTGTTTGCTTGTTAAATATTTCCACACATTTTGCCAATTGCCGAAGCCCAGGTCAAGCTTCTATAGCGCATGAGTTTTGGAAAAGAACACTTTTACCTAAAGTTCAAAATTGATCACTGGCACAGACCCTGGGGAGGAACAGGAGGGGGACGCCCTACATTCATGTCTAAGCACCGCCAGGACGGTTCCCCTGTGGTCCCCGGGCCTCCCTCGGCAGGTATATTCTCCCCCGCCAGGAGGCACCGCCCTGCACACAGGCTCCGGCTGGTCCAGGGGCCCGTGGTGCAGACCTGCTCTAGATCTGCACAGGAGGCAGGCCGCCCAGTCTCTGAAACAGGATCCGTCTGTTCAAAGAAACCAAAGAGCTCCTAGGACGTTCAGGACCCATGCAGATGGGAAGCCTCTAATCAATTTTGTGGCCTTTTTTGTTGGTTAGTGAAAAAGAAAAAAGAAAAGGAAGAGAAGAAGCAAGGGAAGTGCAGTGCATTACTCTTTAGCCTCAGCCAGCTTATTGTTCATCTCTGCGCTCTGCTCCTTGTCAGCAGGTGGGGCAGCGCTGGCACCCTCCGCGCTCTTTTTCTTGGAGGCCCGGCCCAACACCACCTGCTTGTCTTTGGCCTTCCTCGGGGGCTTATGGCTCGCTGAGGTCTTTTTTGGTTTGGAACTCTGGAGACTAGGTTTCTCCACCTGCACGGAGAGACAGACAGACGGCGAACAGAAACAAAGAAGGGGAGGGAGTAGGAGGGCGAATTTAGAGAGAAGACATGATTAGTGAAAGGATAACAGTAACAATGCAGGACTCGGAGGGGCATGGCGTGTAAAGCCTCTTCGGGGACGCTAGGGCATCCGGCATCTCCCCTCTGAAGCCCCCGGTCAGCCGTTCTGGCCGTCCTCTCGCTGGCCACGCCGCCAGCCCTTGCGTCCCGGCCCCGCCAGGTGGGCTGTGCTCTGTGATGCACTCCCCGCTGGCCCTGCCCGCGGGAGGACGGTACCTCACCATCCTGCTCAACGCAGGCGGGCACGTGAGCGGCTTTAGGCAATGAGATGTGAGCAGAGGTGACGGGTCACCTCCAGACAGAAGATCAACAGTCAGCCTGTGCTTCCCAACGTGCCCCTTTCCTCTGCCACAGAGAGGCTGCTCTTCACCCTGAGTTCTAGACGGAAGAGGTGCCGAGGAAGAGAGCTGCAGCCCACCCACGGTGGGCCCATACTGGTAAGAAATAAACCTTGTTTGGGCTTCCCTGGTGGCGCAGCGGTTGAGAGTCCGCCTGTCGATGCCGGGGACACGGGTACGTGCCCCGGTCCGGGAAGATCCCACATGCCGCGGAGCGGCTGGGCCCGTGAGCCATGGCCGCTGAGGCTGCGCGTCCGGAGCCTGTGCTCCGCAACGGGAGAGGCCACAACAGTGAGAGGCCCGCGTACCGCAAAAAATAAAAAAGAAATAAACTTTGTTGATGGAAGACACTGAGATTCTGGGCGGTTTACTACCACAGCAGGAGCCGGCCTTTCCTGTTTCTGAGCTCCTGTGCACAAACGTCCTCACTGAGAGGCTTGGGTGGGCAGTCTCGCCCAGTGAGGCCTTCAGCGCTGTCCAGCCATCCTCTCCTCCCCTCTGGCTGGCTCCCCAGACGGTTTTCCCCAGGGCTGCTGTTCAAGCCCACTTCCCTCTCCCCAAGCTACCTCCTGCCAGTTCTGCCCCCTCATTCCTGGAAGATGGTCTTTTCTTCTCTTTCTCAAGAACTCTGGGCCACTGGGTATGATGCCTCAATATGCCACCCTCCTCCCACCCACCTCTGGATTTACTTTCCCCAATCTTCCCTCACTCCTCTACTTGAATCTTCTTTTGTCCAAAGTCAACCCCATGTCCTGGGTCCCACTTCATCTGTGGAAGGTGGACGGAGATGATGTTGGGCCTCACAGGCCGGGTCATCCACTCAATGAAGTCTAGGGGTTTTCAAGTCACCCCTGACCTGGAAATAAGGTAACCGATCATCCTGGTTTGCCCAGGACTGAGGGCTTTCATGGAATATGGAATTTTCAATGCTTCATCTGGAGTAGTCCAGGCAAACTGGGTTGGGTAGTTGCCTTACCTGTAAACCAGTCCTGGGCCCAAGAGGAGACTCCACTTGACTGCAAGACTTTAGGGCAAAGCAGAGCAAAGGCTCTTAGGTTTTCAGACTTTTACTGCTATTATAGAGAGGAGAGCTGATAATTGCACAATTCCGTATGGCTTGACATCATAGAATAAGCTATGGCATGTATGATTCCTGTCTCAGCAGCAGAGTCTCCAACATGATTCTCCCTCTCATGAATGCATATTGCGATGAAAACAAGGCAAAGCTCTGATGTCACTGGAAAATCCCTGAATCCACTGTAACTTACTTAGGAATGAAAATCATTCACAAGCTGTTTATTATAGTAGCAAATTACTTGGAACACATGATGTGACAGGTGTATTGTGACAGACTGAGAATTGCTGCTGGCTGGAGGGAAAGGATAACAAAAGGCAGGTGATGTTTAGGGATTTGGGAGGTAAAGAAGTGTCCAGTGATTGGAGCTGAGGATGAGGCAGGGGCTGGGTGGGAAAGAAGTCAGGCAAGGAAGCCTCCAAGGCTGGGTCAGCACTTCAGGGGCAAAAGCACAGTTATTTTAAGACAAGGGGATTTAGGGCTCATGTGAGATTTTCTGCCATTTTGGGGGGGGTTCTCAAAATCAGAAGCTAGTTCTCTGGAAACCTACCAGTCTTTAAGCTGTTTTCATTTTAGGTAATGTTCCTTTAAAAGTTCACTTTGAATTTAGCAAAGGTCCCTGGTAAGAAGCCCCTCTGTCTCTGTGTGCTGTGAAGGAAAGGAGGGGCTTTAAAGAAGCCCTTGGGGGCGGGGCCAGAGTTAGCAGTACCCCCTTCCCCACCCCTCAATCTCTGCTGTAGTTAACCCCTCCATGCCAGACAGTGCCGATGCGTCCCCAGAAGTTCAGTCTCACCTTTGGCGGTTCCTTGAAGGGCTCACTGTAGAGGCTGCGTATTCTTCTGCGATCAATGACCTTATTGTCAGCTGGGGTTGGCTTATTGGCCTCCCCTTTGAACTGGGCGCTGTAGCTGGTCTCATGAGCCATCTTATCATCCGGGGGCTTGTACTGGGGCTTGGCTTTTATGGGTTTCACAGGCTTGATGTCAGTCCATGCTCTGAATTCATTCCTGCAAATCAAAGAAAGCCTAAGTGATATGATACATCCTATATCCAGAAGCAGTGCTCTCACACAGGGCGGCAAGCACAGCAGGTTCTCAGTTAGTGCTTGTCGGGCTGACTGATGTGTGGCTGAAGAGTGAACTCACTCCCTCCTCCTGCGTAAGTGTGAGTGTTCCTTCCTGCCCGGTCGAGGCAGGTTGTGACAACAGCAGCAGTAGTTCAGAGAAAGAGCACGGGCTCCCAGCTCCCACTGTGTGACCATGGACAGGCAGTTCTCATCTTTAGGCCTCATTTTCACAATACCTAACATGAGGCTGAAGAAACTCAATCCATTCAGTCATTTATGAGTTCAACACATATGACCGAATGCTGCTGTGTGCGAGGTTAGAGAGCTGTGACTGTTAAATGAGACAACGTGTTGGACATTGTGCCTGGTACGTTGTGGCCAAACGAAAAAGTCCCAGTTCTGACTGAGTTATTTGTAATGAGGTGGATGTACCTTGAGACTGTCACACAGAGTGAAGTAACTCAGAAAGGAAAAACCAATACCGTGTGCTAACACATATACATGGAATCTAAAAAAAAAAAAAAAAAAGGTTCTGAAGAACCTAGGGGCAGGACAGGAATAAAGACACAGACGTAGAGAATGGACTTGAGGACACGGGGAGGGGGAAGGGTAAGTTGGGACAAAGTGAGAGAGTAGCATGGACATATATACACTACCAAACGTAAAATAGATAGCTAGTGGGAAGCAGCCGCATAGCACAGGGAGATCAGCTCAGTTGGTGCTTTGTGACCACCTAGAGGGGTGGGAAAGGGAGGGTGGGAGGGAGACGCAAGAGGGAGGGGATATGGAGATATATGTGTACATATATCTGATTCACTTTGTTATACAGCAGAAACTAACACACCACTGTAAAGCAAATATACTCCAATAAAGATGTTAAAAAAAAAAAGAACTCTACAAAAAAACCCCACAACTAACCATCAAAAAAAAGCCAGTTCTGTTCCTTCCTTTGTCATGATGAAGATGCTCTGTAACCCTGGATCTTTAAAGTTAATACTTCTCTTCAATAGCAGAGGGCTTGCTTCTTGTGCTACCTGAACCTTAACAACCTCAATCACTTTAGATGAAAATCCTTATGAAATGCCTAAATGCCTGCAGGTCATAAATAAGCAAGATGTACTGAACACAACCGGATGTCACCATGGGGACTTGTGCTGGGATACAGGATGTGTAAGAGAGTCTTGGTGGGTTTGGTGTGAATGGCTATTGGTCCTTACCCTAAATGATCCCTATTTGGTGTTTTTTGAGTCAGTGTGTCAGTTTGCTTGTTCATGGCAATCTCTCTCCTGGTTTCTAATCAGCCATATCTGATCTGTTACAGGACTGGAGAGTAGATGGTGACAGTGTTCAAAACAGGGTAAAATAAATGTCGCTGCTGATGTAGGCCACAGGGTCCATCCTGTTTGTTGAGTGCAAAACATCCAATACATAAGCTCTGTGGCTCTGAGGTCTTTATCAGTCTCCCCTGATTTGGGGCCATGAGAAGCTGTGCTGTGGGAAAGGAAGAGCCAGTGTACGAATATCTGTGGAGTGAGGCTCTCCAGCACCCTCTCTCATCCTCATGGTAACTCCCTCCTTCAGGGCTCAGACATGAGTGCCACAAACAACAGGCCACAGGGGACAGTAGAGAGAGCTCAGGCTGCCAAGGAGACACACGAATTCTAGCCCTAGCTCTGCCTCTAGGTAGATGCTGAGCAGGCCCCTCCCCTCTCTGAGCCTTAGTTTCCTCATCTGTCAAAAAAAGAATTGACCAGACAATGTCCTTATAATGCCCTTCAGGCTCTGAGGGTCTCTGAGTTGATAAAGCTGGTTTGGTAACACTGAGCCATATCCTGGTCATTTGAGCTCCTGAGGGGGCACTGGCTCATGTGTGAGCAGACTGACCACAGTTTCTTAAGAGATCCTCCCGAAGCTTTAGACTTGCCTTTCCAGTGCAGTTGGACCTACTTCTAAATGCCCCACCAACTCAAACTCAGCATCCCTAGAACCAAATCATCTTGTCTCCCCTGCCAAGTTGTCTACTCTTCTCGGATTCCCTCACTGCTCCATTGCACTCATTCATTCATTCATTTATTCATTCGTTTATAAAACATTTACTGAGTGCTTACGGTCTGCCTGGCAGGATGAACTCAAGGTGTGGGAGAGGGAGGGACTGGAGTTTACTCCAGGACAATAAGATAGGCTCCATGAAGGAGGAGGGAGTGGGGAGCACAGGGGAGGAGCTCCTGCACCAGCCCGGGAGTTGGAGGATGGGTTCTGGAAGGAGTCAGGGAGATTGACAGGGAGCTGGCTGAACGTGGCGGGGCGGGTTTCCAGGCAAAATGGGGGGCATACAAAGAGGCTCACGAGAGGCCCGGCCCCCCAGGAGGAGCGGGCAGCTCAGGCGGCTGGGTTGAAGCTTGGTGGAGAAGGACAGGAGAGGCTGGGCAGGTCATGAAGGTCCTGCCAGCCACGCCAAGGGGATGGTCTGGACTGTAACAAGAAGTTGCCAGATGAGTTCAAGCCATGGATGCATGTGGCCAGGTTCTTCTTGGGGAGGAGAACTTTGGTAGCAGTGTGAATGGGGACAGAGGGGGAGGGGTGGAGTGGGAGGCCAGAAGGGATGTGCAGTGAGCCGGGAGGAAAGCAGAGGCCTGAACCAGGATCGTGGCAGTGGGGACGGAACACGGCACTGAGTCGAGGGAAATGGGCGGGACTCAAACATGGCTGAGCTGAGGGAGGCCAGGCTTGGAGAGATATTTGGGTTTGTGGGTGGGGACACTACCCCCCTGAGCCGTGGAACCTGGGAAGAGAGGGGATTTGGGAGGAGGGTTGAGACCCTCCTGATTCTGTTAATGGCAGCCACCTACTCAGCTTCAAGGCTGCTTTTGGAGCCTCTCCTCCCTCCTCCTCCTCCCCCCATTCGCCTCTGTAGCCTCAACCAGTTACCATGACCCGACTTCTGAGCCATTTTGGCTCTACACACAGGCCCAGTGCTGGCCCGGGCTGCTTCTGGGGCTCGGGCCCCATTACCTGCCTGAGGTGCCAGGACTCCCTTCCTTCCTCCCACCCTCGGGCCCTGATACTTGGCCTGCATCTCTCAGTAGCCAAAGCAGTAACAACCTGGCTCCTAAAATACGATGGCAGAAACCCGGATTCTCTGCTCCCACCCCTGCCTGCCTGCCTGCTTGCAGAATGAGGGCTGAGATAGGTATACACTGGCCCCAAGCACTGATTCTGGGTCACTTCTCCCAGGCCAGCTTCTGCAGCTTTCTCTCTCTCTCTGCAGCGGCCCCTGTGGGCTGGTAAGTGTCTCTCTGTGAGCATTAACCATGGGACGTGTCCTTGTGGGGACAGCTTGGTCACCCTGGTCTTGAACAACTTTGGTACATCATCTTCACGTGGGATGTGTTAATGAGTCCCATAATAAGTTCACTGTACTTATAACAGGCTGTTAGGTTTAAATCCAAATTCTATTACCTAGAACTTTCTTTGAACTCTCCACAAAACCTTCCCCAGCCACATGGAACAATTAATCATATGTCATAAAAAAATTATGTACCATTCATTAGTCACCTCTTATAAGCTGGAAGGTTGTTTCTGTTTTGTATATTCTCTATAGTCCTTACAACAACTTTGAAAGGAAGCAGTATTATTTCCCTTTTATGAAAGAGGGTCACCAAGGCTCAGAGAGGTTAAGTGGCTTGCATAAGGCCACACAGCTGGCAAATAGCAGAGCTGATTCTCAGCCCAGGGGGGTCGGGCTCCACAGCCCACATCCTTCCCACTGCACTCGGACAATGTGCTGGAGCTGCAGCGTGCTGGCGGCCCTCACTGGAGGTGCTTGTGCAGGCTGTGGCCTGCTGTCTGCAAGGCTGTGGAGGGTTTATATGACACAGACTGCACAGAGAATACCTGAGCTCCCCCAGCCCTGAGATGCTCCTCCCAGAGCAGTATGGGCCACACTCTCAGGTCAGTCATGTCCAGTTCCTTTTGCCACGAGTTCATGGTCCCCTGTAACCATCAACTCCCCTTTCTGTGCAACCAGATTTCAACTTGATCATTCATTCATTCATTTGTTTGGCATTTGCCAAACTCCAGCCATGGCCATGGCATGTGGCCCACAGAGAGGAGGAAGCCAAGGCTGAGGTCTCTACAGTTTAGTGAGTCAGGGTCTGTCCATGTGTGACCCTAAGAAAAGGCAGAATGAAGCAAATGGGACAGAGCTCAGAAGGACAGAGGGGAAAGGATGCTTTATTCTGAGGGGTGAAGTGGGGAAGGGGGCACTGAAGGATGCAGATAGAGAAGTGGGTGGGGGGAATCAGGCAGCAGTGAGGTATTTGGGGCAGGTTCACAGAGCGGCTGAACCACTCAGGGAGCGGGAGGGTGGGGCTCTTGGAGGGATGGCAAGGTGACCGGGCAGGCAGGAGCTAGGAGCAGGCTGTACAGAGCCTGGAATGCCATGCCTGGATGCTAGTGGGAGGCCTGGGGAGCCGCTGAACACTTCTGAGCGAGGCAGCACTATTCCTATTCCTCCACTGATGGTGTCCTCCTCCTCTCAGACTGTCCCAATTTTAGTTATTCTTCAAGGCTCAGCTCAGGGCTCTCCTCTTCCAGGAAGCCCTCCTGGATTACTCAGCCCAAAGTCTCCCAGCTCTTGGCTCCTGGACCCTCTACTGTACTGTCCAACTTTGTGGTTACCTAGCAGTTTCACATTCTTTAATTCTTTCATGAGTCCGTTTGTCTCTCTCGAGGGATAAGATATATAACAGAAAATTCATGACAAAACTCTCCTTCAAGTCCAATCTCATTTGCGTGGCTGCAGAGGGATATTCTTTAACTTACCCTGTATCAGACTACAGGTTAGGGGCCTGGCTGGGCGAGGACCTCAGTCCTCACTTGCCCGCCAGAACCCTTCCCTCCCCCTGGGCCATCATTGAGAGCCACACTCCATATCTTTCC